CTACCATTGTTTGATCCTCCTAGGCATGATAGTGCTGAAACAATTAGAAGAGCTCTTAATCTTGGTGTGAATGTTAAGATGATTACTGGTGAGATTTCAAATCATGATTTCTTGTACCTTTTACCGTAAAACTGAAAGTATGTCTCTTTGAAATTACTTGTGGCTGTGTCATTCTGTAGGGGATCAGCTTGCCATTGGAAAGGAAACTGGCCGAAGGCTTGGAATGGGAACAAACATGTACCCTTCATCTTCTTTGCTTGGCCAAGACAAGGATGCTTCTATTTCAGCTCTTCCAGTTGATGAGTTGATTGAGAAGGCCGATGGATTTGCAGGAGTATTTCCTGGTAGGTCCTTGAGATTTGTATAATTGTATACCATATTTTACTTGATAAGGAGTTACATCTTTACTTCAATGTTTATAAGATAATAATAACAGCTTTGTTGACCTAAACCCTTATGGTTAAGTTTAAGCATCTAAATAGTAATTTCTTTTATCAAAAAACGTAATATTTATTATACTTTTTTATTCTCAAGGTGATGATTATTTTCTCTTCCAATAAAAGTTTATCACTTTTAAGGGATGATGTTAGCATTTTCCTTATAATAATGATGAGCAATCATCCATTATCTTTGCCTTCAACTATTTTCAAATACCCTTTACTTGCCATGGCATCTTTTCAAGTATGGAAAAAGAAACTGCTATTTTTATCAACAGTGTGATTATGTTTCAAAATTTAGCTACACTTCTACCATTTTAATTCCTTTTCTCTTTGTATGATATATGATAGAACACAAATATGAAATTGTTAAGAGGCTGCAAGAGAGGAAGCATATCTGTGGAATGACAGGAGATGGTGTAAACGATGCCCCTGCATTAAAGAAAGCAGATATTGGAATTGCTGTTGCTGATGCCACAGATGCTGCTAGAAGTGCTTCTGATATTGTCCTCACTGAACCTGGTCTGAGTGTCATTATTAGTGCAGTGCTCACCAGCAGGGCAATTTTCCAAAGAATGAAGAACTATACTGTTAGCTTCCTTGATTTCCTAATTTAATTTCTTGATTTTATTTGAATGTTTTTATTTGTCTAATCCAGAAGGTTTGATTGTGGAACAGATCTATGCTGTGTCAATCACCATTCGTATTGTGGTAAGTGCTGAAATTAGGCTGATTCATAAGATGCCAATTTTTTTTCTACATACTTATACTACATAATCATACACTCTGATCTTTTTTTTCTTTTATTTTGGTAGTTTGGCTTCTTGTTCATTGCGTTGATCTGGAAGTTTGACTTTGCGCCCTTCATGGTTTTGATCATTGCCATACTAAATGATGGTAAGACCATATATACTTGAACTTCATGTTATTTACTTTTACAGTTTTCAGTTCTGCTATAATGTTTAAACTGATTTCCTTACTCTACCATACATTAAGGTACCATTATGACAATTTCCAAGGATAGAGTGAAACCATCTCCACTGCCTGATAGCTGGAAACTGAGGGAGATATTTGCTACTGGTGTTGTGCTGGGAAGTTACTTGGCACTAATGACAGTAATATTTTTCTGGGCAATGAAAGATACCAACTTCTTCTCGGTACATAATATTTACTTATTGTTTATTACCCCTTAACATCATCATCACCAACTATTCAAAATCCTAAGTTCTGTGAGCGCAACTTTTACTTTTGCAGAACAAGTTTGGTGTGAGGTCACTGAGAAATAGCCCTGAAGAGATGATGGCAGCATTGTACCTACAAGTCAGTATAATAAGTCAGGCACTAATCTTTGTCACTAGGTCCCGAAGCTGGTCTTTTGTTGAAAGACCTGGTCTTCTCCTACTAGGAGCTTTTATGATTGCTCAGTTGGTAAGATTGAACCTCCTATTCTCAGCAATGCAGTATGTAGGAAATATTTTCCGTTTTCACTTATAATTACAAAAATGTCATCTTATTTTCATTTTGTTTCCTGCTTCAAAGATTTGTGTAGGAAACAGTGAAAGCAATTTTTTATTGTTTTTATACAAATCTTTCAAAACAGAAAACAAAATGAAAAGAATATGACATTTTCGTAAATAAAAGTGGTAGCAGAAAATAAAAACAAAAGAAATTCTCAAACCAAATGGCCCCTTAGTTATCAAGGCAAATGAGTGTTTAGTGTTCTTGGCTTTCATTGGCAGTAACAATAATTTGTTGTGTAACTTGCAGGTTGCAACATTTATAGCAGTATATGCTAATTGGGGCTTTGCAAGAATAAAGGGAATGGGATGGGGTTGGGCTGGTGTAATCTGGGTGTACAGTGTGGTAACCTATATCCCTCTTGATTTACTCAAATTTGCAATCCGTTATATTCTAAGTGGGAAAGCTTGGGATAATCTTTTGGAGAACAAGGTAGGTTCTTTATATATATAGTATATGTTGTTGCATTATTGATCTAATTCAGAGGTATAAAGATTCATAACATGTTGATGCTCTCCCATCACAGACTGCCTTCACTACAAAGAAAGACTATGGCAAAGAAGAGAGGGAAGCTCAATGGGCAGCTGCACAAAGGACACTTCATGGTCTTCAACCTCCTGAAACCTCCAACCTTTTCAATGAGAAGAATAGCTATAGGGAGCTTTCAGAGATTGCAGAGCAAGCCAAGAGACGTGCCGAAGTTGCTAGGTAAGCCATTAACTTGTCTCAGATCAAGTTAGTGCCTCACAAGCTTCATGAAGCAGCAATCACTTCTGTTACTTTTTATAAAAATAAAAAACTAAAGAAGAATGCTAACAATATATTCTCTAATACCCTCGTAATTATTAACTAAAATTTATTAAAACTATAAAAATATAAAAACAAAATATTAAATTAGGAATAATAATATCTACACAATTTTTATAATTTTTAATAAATTTTAACTAATAATTAAGAGTATGCTGAAAAAATGTGTTAGAAAATATTATTAGCTTTTTTTTAATTAATTTATCAAGACTACTAAAAAGTAATTATATAATTTGTATTATATTTTAAAAATACTTATAATATTAAATTGTTAAATTAATGACTTATATATTAAATAAATGAATATAAATGAACGAGTGTCTTGAAAAAATAAATTTTATAATAAATAAAAATATAAAAAATTAATAATTAATGCTTCTGAAAATTATCTTTCCTTATAATTAGAATAAAAAATGATTGATCATTATTTTTTTATGAATAATGATAGGAGGGAGTATTATAGAAAATATTAACCATGCACTATTTAATGCATTCTATTAAACATACTTTTTCACATAAATCTATATCATTGATTGAAATTTATTTAATTAGAATTACAAAATGATGTGGTTCTTGTCCCCTGGTTAACGAGTCTCATCCATAATATTGTGATATTTAATAAATTTCAGCTTATAACAGAGAGTAACTTGCTACCAAGTAGCACTCCTCACTATAACATGGGAATTCTTTGCAAAGCAGTCACATATTCTTTGTTATTGGGTGAAATCCACTGAATAAGTAGTGAGACTCCATTATTTGGTGAACCTACATGAATTTCATCTAGTAATAAAAAGTGCATCAAGAAATTATATTACTATATGATACTGAGGGATGATGAATGAGTTATATATATATGTGTGTGTGTGTGTGTGTGTGAAATTCATGTTAACAAATTTTGAAATGTGCTACAGGCTTAGGGAGCTTCATACTTTGAAGGGACACGTTGAGTCAGTGGTGAAGCTGAAGGGACTTGACATTGATACAATTCAGCAGCACTATACAGTTTAAGAAGCTTGGAAAACCTTCAAGAAGAACCAGTTCAGTGCTTTTTTTGAACAAAATCATATATAATGACGAAGAAAGAGCTTTTTCAACCCATCTTTTAAGATAAATATAATATATATAAAATGACAGTCTTGTGAAAATTTGAATGGTCTCTCGGTGTTCCCATCTATTCTAGGAGGAGATACTATGCTCTTTACTTAACATATAACATAATTGATAATGATAGGGTTTAATATCATCTTTTCTTTCTTTCTTTTTTTTTCCCTTTTCTGGTAGTATGCTAGTGTTATTAATATCACATTAAAGCCCATGGTATTAACACTTTCTCAATATTGAACTTAATCTGTTTACCTCAAGCTAAAGAAAGTGTATTTTTTTTGCATTTTTGCTAAGTGAAAAATACACTAACTGTAGGGCGTAGTTACTACAGAAGATCCAATTTTTTTTCACAAAGTTTTTTTTACATGTCATCTTTAAGTATTTTAAATTCCGTTTGCAATGTGGCCTAATGCAGCCAATGTGGTCTACAATCACTAATTGATGTGGTTGCAGCACATAAAAATAATAAATAAATGCTTCACTGCTTGAATTGAACTGAAAAGGCCTAAAACTGAAGTCATGCCTAGTCTCTCTAGAAAGTAGAAACTGTTCTAAAATCCAATTCTACTATAGTGGATTCGCCTGTATTGTATTTTATCATTATCCCCATTCATGCACTGGTCTTAGTGAATGTTTGAAACTGCTTATTTTTAAAATTGTTTATTTATAAAACTTTTCTCAAAAAGTTTAAAAAAAAATGTTTCTTTAAGATAAGCTCAACGAAATATGCACTTGGAGCATTCTCCCTCCTATTTTTTTTGTAAATTAAAAAATAGGTATATGTGTTTATTTTTCTTAATAATAAAAACTAAAGATTGATTTTTAAGATATATTAATTGTTAAGTTCTTCTCATATCCTCATTTATTTTCAAATTTGCCTAAATAAAACATCCACTTATTACCTATATAAGTGAATATATTCATTCATTTAATACTATAGATATTTTTATAATATAATATAAATTTATAACATCCAACAACTTTTTATTAGTTTTAATGAATTAATTATTTATTTCTTGTAAAAAAATATTGGAGAGAGTATTTATTCACTTCCTTTAGCATAAAAGAAGAAGAAGAAATTGAAAGATGTATTTGACAATGATTTGAAAAGATAAACAAGGGATTAACAATGAGTCAATTAACCATTGAGCAATCACGCCTAATTTCACCTTGGTTTCCTGTTTTGACCCCTATCCTTCCAAGCCTAGTGATAGCAATTACAAAAGAGGTTTCAAAGGCTGTGTTGTTGGATGCAAACAAGTTGACAAGGTCTTTTGTTTTTTTATGAGTAAACAAAACTTGATCAGAAGAAAGGAGTCCTTTTCCAAGCTGAAGATTCTTGTAGTATTGGTTATCAAATGTGTTTGGAGTAGTTGGGTCCATGTTAATGGCAATTCTGGGGTCCACATTTTCTGGACACTCTTGCTGGAGCTGTTTTGCATATGCAGTATTGAGTGCTGGATCAATTCTTTTACCACTTCTGAAGCTGTAAATTCGTTTCGAGAATTGGCTGCAATGAGAGAACCCAAGTGTATGTCCTCCTGTCACCAATCATTTCAATTTATATTAGAATTTTGGGATAGGGAAGCAAAAAATATATAACACATAACAATTCTTGTAGATAAGTTCTTATTAAGAAAATAATAATAATAGTCTTATATCCGAACATAAGCTTAAGCTTAGACTTCTAAGAATGAAATACCTGATAGAGCAACAAGATCCATAAGGGTGAGGCCATGCGAAGCAAACATTTGATTCAGCTGTTTCAGTTTGAATTCAGGACGAGGAAGATGGTGCCTAACACTAGCTTTTGTAGAGATTCTTCCATCTAGCCTTCCCAACTCCACTGCATAAGATGGCCCTCCTGTCTGAAACCAAGTGAATGTTCAATTTGTATTCAGCTAAAATGTACAAGAAAAATACAATGTCACATATAATAATTCTCTTCATAACCAAAATAAATCATTCTTATAAAGACAAATCAAAAGAAATATGAAACTATACCCATCTTTTACTTATTATATAAATATGCTGTATTTGCTAGAAATAGATGCTTAGACCACTACTCTACTAAGATTGAACTTCTTTTTATAAAGGGTAAATTTTTTTTATGAATTTCTATTTGAAACTCTCTTTATAGCAAAGATCATTGCTTATTTACCAACGCTATGACATCCCTAGTTGCCATTGCCAATATGTCAGCACATGAAACCTTATTTTGGCAGCCAGGTACACTGTCAACTGCATTCTTGGCTTTGATCACAGTGTCAAACCCATCACCAGCTAGTGAAAGATTGATGGGATTATCCTTCTCTGCTGAGTTGTTTCTTGAAGCTAACATCACAGAAGCATCACACCCCTGTCAACACCACACACAAAACACGTTACTAAAATTTAGTAGCTGCCACAATTGCCACTTTTCAAAGGGTTGCCTCAAAGGAGAAAAAAAGAGTATATAAATTTATAACTATGCTGACCCTAACAAAACAATCATGGAAAAAGAGCCTAAGTGTAGCAGGAGCTGTCACTGGTGTCTGATGATATTTCTTCTCAACTGTACTGCGTACAATGGATTCAACATTTGGACATGTGTTTCTGTAATAGTCAACACGAAGTTCAGCATGAGAACTAGCTATGAGAAGCAGAAGAAACAAGTTAGCTAGGAAAATTACGAGGCTCTGAGAACTCATTTTCAGGTTGTGCTGTTTCTAGTATCTCTAGCATTACATTTGGTTTAGTGATTGCATCCTTAAATAGCCTAAGAACTAATGAAAATTATCTCTTGATTTTGTGAAGTATTGTCTCCATCTCATTTTATTTAATTTCAGCTTAAATATGTTATTGATTCATGAAATAAATCATATATGATGATGAGCTTTGTTATATATCCTCCTAATAATCTTTTTACAATTTTATAAAATAAATATTAAATGAAAATGTTCATTTATTATTCTATCATGATATATTTTGATTTTAATTTTTATAATTTTTTTTTGTTTTAATCTCTATATTTTTTTAAAATTATTAATTTTGATCTCTCTTAATGACATGATTTCACAAAAAAGTGATAGGTGGCACAAGAATTAACAGGTGACACAAAAGTTAATGAACATAATTTTAAGAAAAATATAAATTATATAAGTTATTACAATAAAATAGCTTTCTTTGACTAAATAACTTTCATCAAAGAAGTATTATAAATATGTTTAAGTAAGATACCAACAAATGTGGGTGTTATTGAAAAAATAATAATGAACTTTTTTCAAACATTTTAAAGTGATAAACATTATGAGATAAACTAAAATAGATAGATAGAGGAATATAACAAGGGGTGAATGCAGTAAATTTGAAGCAAAATAACAAGAGCTGCAGACCAAGAAGAAATGCTTTTGGAAAAAGTGTTGAGTATTTTTGGAATATCTGACGAAGCACTCACTATAATGCTTGCATTAATTTGTGTGAAGAGGTTTAAGTGGAAGCTCAAGGAGTGGTGAAACAACTTGTTTATTAAACGTGCACTTTGAATTTATATCAAAATAATAGTCTGGTCCCTCACATAGTGTATGGTGCTTTTTTCTATATTTTACTTGATGTAGTTGGATCCTGCAAGACATGAGATAGTAGCTGTATACGCACAAATCTCACCAAACATCACAAATGCAGCAATTTGGCAAATGTTTTACGTTAGCTTAATGTTGTTTATTTGTCCTGAATAGACCATATGATAGCCACTTTGATTACTACTTTATTTGGGTATTCACAGCACAGAGTGCTAGCTGCTAGTAAATCCTGTATAATAAATCAATAATATAATGGTTAAATTAGTCTGTGAATTCCTAGTTTTTTTGAAAAGTTATAAATACATTTTTATACTTTAAAAATTAATAATCATTTTTAATTATATTCTTGGTCACATTTTTATTAGACTCCACTAAATGTGAAAGCTTAATAATAAATACTTAAATAGTTTTGATACTAGGTCAAACATTTAATTATTCAATAAATTCTTAAATTATTTTAAATTTTATAATTAAATATAAGCATTTAATAAAATTATAATGGAATCTTAAAAAATTATATAGAAAAAACTTAATTAAAATAATATAAAAATTACAAGACATAACTACAAATTTTTAAAATATAGAAATTTAATTATAATTTTCTATAAAATTCAGAACTTACAAAATAATTTAAGTTAATATAAAATTTAAGCATTTAAATTTATTAATATATTTCAAGAGTTTAACTTCTTTACATTATTAATATAAAAAAATCTATACTCATTCAATGTTTTACAATTTTATGTTACATAAAAAAATGTCATATGCTAAAAGAAATCACTAGGCTAGTATATGTTGATATAATTTTACAATTTCCTGAGTTTCCTTTGTGTATTTTTTTTCTTTGGCCCATTCCTAAGTTTCTGGAAAGAGAAGGATACAATAGTTATTGGGCCTTGATTTTATGTTGGGCCAACGATGTATTAAAGGTGGTTGCTTTTATCACTATAGTTTTAAAATTTTAATCAGAAAAAATGTTTTAAAAATGTTCTTAATCTGCATACTTAAAAGAATGTTGCGTAATTACCAGTTATAATTACTATTTTTCTTTCAATTTGTTTTTGGAGAGGGTGTTAGAGGGATGTTTAGATGCACAATAGAAGAATTATGGTTTCCTTATATTATCACAAAGTGTGGTTTATAGCTTATCTTCTTTTATTTTTCTTAGGCCATATTTGAAAGTTAGATTTAGAAGAGAAAAATACTATAAGTTTATATAATATAAAATGAATTAACATATTAATTTTATAATACTTTTTTATTATATTTTTTAGTCTAAAAGAAAAAAAATCATGCTATCCTTTTCTGTTCAAAATCTAACTCTTAAACATGCTCTTATGTTTTGATATTAGAGTTTGATCATCTCCTTATAGTAGTTATTGACATAAACTAAATATTAATGTTCATGATAATGCTTAACACATATAATTAAGCAAAAATATTTTTTGAACAATTTTCATTTTTTTATTTTTATTTTTTGAGTATATTTTTTATGTGGGCATACCAAAAATAAAATAAAAGATAAAAAATTCACTACTGTTTAAAATATGGATAAATTTATACATATCTCATGAGAATGAAAGTTTTAAATAAAAATATGCTGATATAAAACTTAATAGAGTAAAAATTATACTCGAAAATATAATGAAAATAATTTAAACATTACTTAGATTAGTTAATAAATATATTTTTATTACAAAACTATCAAATAATTATTTTTTTCTTCTAACTAAAATGATGATTCTCATTTAGTATGCTCTAACAACCTTCAATCATTTCAAAGAAGCCAAAGCATAGTGAGAGTTGAAAGAGATTCTCCTATGAATGGCAATTTCACAAAACTGAATAATAATATTACAATACCAAGATTCAAAAAATAAATTACATTAGGTTAGGTTAATTTCTTACATGTGAAATAAGTTTTATTTTTCTAAATAATCATCTAAACAATTATTTTTATAAATGACAAAATTTAGAATGTGTGAATTTAAATTTGTGTTATTTCAAATTTCTTAAAAGTTGAAAAATATCGATTCAAACATTCTAATATCATCACACAAACTTCTCAATAAAGTTTATTACAGTAATTAATTTATCGTTTTTAGGTTTAATTAAAAATGTATATAAATTATTGCAGGTTATTATAAAATTCCATATTTATTAACTTATTTTTTTATACAATAACTGTTTTGTAAAACTTATTTTCATTAATATTTATTCTTTATTAATTAAGGATAATTTGTAATTAATTTAATGAAACTGTTATATTACACTATAATATCTAATGTTATATTTAAATATGATACATAAATACTTTAATAAAAACATGTTAATATTATATATGAATGTTATCATATCAATTAAGTCTAATATATTATAATATGAATGAACTTTCGTATTAATTAAATTATTAAAAAATATATTTTAAAAATGAAAGTTGTTATAATTTTTTTCAAAATACTCACACATCAAAATATGTTAAAAAAAGAAAATTTTTTATTTAGAATAAAATAAGTTTATGAATATCACTTTAAATAAAAAATTCAGAACTATGTTTATAAATTAAATACAAATATTTAGTGTATATATATGTATAATAAATATTATTTTAATTTCTAATTATCATGAATAAATAATTATGAATATTTTTAACTATTACCATTTGTATATAAATTATTTAAAATAGAAAACATTTTAAAGTAAAAAAATTTGAATGCATATAAATATAATTTTATTATATACATAAAATTGACTATACATTAGTATTTAATACAATATATCTCAATGTATTGTTGTTTTTTTTGTGAATAAAGATAATTTTTAAAATTAAATTTGTGTATATATATGCTTTGACTATGATAATCACATCAACATTTAGAAACTTTTGTAATTTTATTATCATTAATATGCATATAAATTTTAATAGGTTTTTGTGAACTCAACAATAGCAACGTACTTAAATTTTAATAACGATTAGTGTTAGAGGTGTTAGTAAGTAAAGTTAAAAAAAGTTGATTGAGTGAGTTTGCTTTAGACATTGTAAGAAAAAAACTATCCTTAATATCATCAACAATGATAATTATGAAATATTGAAGATAGAAATAAAGGTTCACATACTTAAAGAAAGATTAAAAACTTTAGACGATAAATAAAAATGTTCAAATGACTGAAGTTGGCAATGCTTTTTTCTTTTGTGAAATTTTGGTAAGAATATTATGATTGTGAGCTTGTTGATGAGTGTTATATATTCTTTAATCAATACCTTTCAGTAAGAAGATAGAAGGCTAATTTTAAGCTTTATGCATCACAGATTAAACAAGGTTATGACATAGATTCATCTACCAAGATTAGCTCTAAAATATTATGATAAAAAAGTTCTCCAACAATGACGTGAAAGGGTGAGGTTGCCTTAGAATGAGGGAGAAATGGTGAAGTTACTACTTAGAAGATATGATTTTGTGATGTCTAAGGCTCTCTTAGGATCTACTACTCTTTTCTTTATTATTTTATCAATGATTATAATATTAGAAGGTTATATGAGCCCTTAATCCCTCCTTTAGCAAAGGATTTAGAAATTTAATAGCTCATGTACAATATATACCATCCTAAAAAACTATGAAGAAATTAAGGTTTAAGAATTATGTGATTAGTGATATAAAGAACTTTATGATAGATGTTTGGTAGGCAAGTGTAACTGTTGAGAAGTAATAAAGAGTTTTTAAATTAAGTTTCTAAATTATTATCCGATTGTTTTTCAATTACTAAGAATTTTCTAATTCAATTGTTTGAGCTTTAAAGATATGAAATTAATTTGAAACAAGAATTTATAAAATCAATTATAAAAGTAAGAGTAAGAAATACAATGCACGTCTTGATTGAACTTATCGGAGAGAAACCTAGGACATATGAGTTTTTTCATTCAATCATTTATGTTATTTTTTTATTTAATTCTAAGTTCGATTTTCTTGTGATTACCAATTATTCATACAATTACTATTAATACTCAATAGTGATGCAATATTGATATTCATTTCTTTAAACTAACATCTCCAATGGTCATACAAGATTTAATTCAAGAAAATATAAAACGAGGAATCAAAAAAATAAGAAAGGTATTGCTTTTTTTATAT